CGCTAGTCGGCACACAATTTTACTAATCTTGACAGCACGGTTCACACGCTCTTCTTCTTCGGGCGAAGGTTGGGGGTGAGAGCGGGCCCCGCGTTGCGCAGCTTTGTCGGCGAGGGCCGCCAGCACGGACGGCTCATGTGAGCCAGGCGCAAGCGCCAAAACATGTAAACCCGAAACGAGCGCTAGGCCCCAGAGGGGCCCAAGCGCAACCAGAGCGTTTCGGGGTCAGTGGCCAAAAGCGGCCTTGGGGTCCGAAGGGTGCGGCCGTTTGGCCTGCCTTCGTCGACAGGGTGCCGACACTCCAGGAACAGCTTGCGATTACGAGTCGCCCTCGCCGACATCTGGTTGAAATCAGGAGGGCGACAGTCCACAAGGAGGTGACTTGCGACCCCAGTGGTGTAAACACCGCAACGTATGCACAAAACGACCTCCCCTGTGGCGACCCAACACCGATGTCCTCTGGCCGCCTCGGGCGGCACAATGCCAGCAGCTGACAACAGGGTAATCGGCACGGTGGTGTCGCACAGCCTGGGGGGGGGGGGCTTATTGCGAGCTTGCGCCTGCGCTTAGCTCGGGGGAGGTCGGCCTCTACGTCAGCAATGGCTCGATCCTGCTGCTCCTGACAAGGGGACCGTGCCAGGACGATAGGATCAAAAGTGACTCTCGGCCTGACGCTGCGACTGCCCTCACCCTCAGAGCTAGACGAACGAGGACGACAGGACGACCGACGAAGGTCCGAAACGTCAACGAAGACGTGAGGAGGCGGGAAGGCAGCAGCATGGGCGCTACCAGCGCTCCTCTCAGGAATAGGAGCCTCCGTCCCCATGGCGAAGTCGTCGCCAGCCACGGGCACTTCACTGGGCAACTGCACGTCTCGGCCAGCTTCGACGTCTCGGACGGACGCCGAGGCTGGAGGGGACGCGTCAGAGCCCATGGAGGAGTCGACGGCCAACGCAGGCCCAATGGGGGCCAGGCCTGGGGACTTCTGGACGCTCTGATGCCTCGAGTCCGAGCGTAGCCGCCGAAGCCCGAAGGCGAGCAGAGCAAGAGAGGACCTCGAGGCGACCGACTCTCTCAGCAGTCTAAGCGCCGAGCTTGCAGTACCCGCAGCGGAAAACCCTCCTCCCTGGGACAGGAGGAAGAGGAGGAGGAGGAGGAGGAGGAGGAGGAGGAGGAGGAGGAGGAGGAGGAGGAGGAGGAGGGAGGAGAGAGGAGGAGGAGGAGGAGGAGGAGGAGGAGGAGGAGGAGGAGCAGGAAAGAGGATAAGGGATGAGGGAGGAGGAGGAGGAGGAGGAGGAGGAGGAGGAGGAGGAGGAGGAGGAGGGGGAGGAGAGGGAGGAGGAGGAGGAGGAGGAGGAGGAGGAGGAGGAGGAGGAGGAGGAGGAGGAGAGGAGGAGGGAGGAGGAGGAGGAGGGGAGGAGGAGGAGGAGGAGGGAGGAGGAGGAGGGAGGAGGAGAAGGAGGGAGGGAGGGAGGAGGAGGAGGAGGAGGAGGAGGAGGAGGAGGAGGAGGAGGAGGATCAGGGAGGAGGGAGGAGGGAGGAGGAGGACGAGGAGGAGGGAGGAGGAGGAGGAGGAGGAGGAGGAGGAGGAGGAGGAGGAGGGAGGAGCCTTGACGCCCACAGCGGCCTGCGCCGAGAATTGGAGGCCCTCTGGGGAGCCTCGCGGCCGAGGACGGGGCAGAAGGGGGCGAGGGAGCCTCCTCCTCCTCCTCCTCCTCCTCCTCCTCCTCCTCCTCCTCCCCCTTCTCCTCCTCCCTCGTCCTCCTCCTCCTCCCATGTCCTCCTCCTCCTCCTCCCTCGTCTTCCTTTTTCTCTTCCCTCCTTCTCCTCCTCCGAGGGGTCCGAGGGGCAGAGGTCCGCTCGGGGGAGCGCCTCGTCCTGGACGACCTCCACGGGGCACTCCATGATGCCCTGGAGGGCGCGTCGCGCGGCCGCGGGGGGGGGGGGAGACCCTGACCTTCCAGGAGGGCCATCAATCCCAACAGCCCTCTGGGCGGGGGTGGTGTGAGGCGCTCCTGCTTCCACCTCTCTGATGGAACCCCTCTCCCTGCCGTCTGCCGTCTTCCCTGGACTTCGCCGCACCCCCTGCCATACCCTGCAAAGCACCCCTGCAGAGCCGATTCCACGACCCTCCAAACCGTGCAATAGCATGCCACACGACCCTGCAATACCCTGCAAATCAGACCCCCGCAATACCAAACACTACCCTGCAAATCAGACCCCTGCAATACCCGGCACAAACCTTGCAGTCCTCCCACTCGCCATTCGGGCTGGAATCCCAGTAGCCCTTTCGGGCATGCTTGGTTTGGGTTGTTTCCTCATCCAACCCTTCTTCCCATTCGGGGAACAATTTATCACCCCTCCCCCAGGCGACCTGCAACCAACCAGGTCCAATGCGGTCCCCCGCGTCCACGTGCGCAAAACAATCCGAAGCACACTGTAGACAAAATCGTGGGTCCTGGTCGTGGGCTCTGCGAGCATTTTGTATTGTTTCTTCTTTGAAAGGGACGGAGGGGCGCCCTCATAGTGCCTGCTTCGCGCAAGGACACCATCCCTGTCGAAAACACAATACAGATGCACTTCGCGGCTATATCCGGATATGGCGCGGCCACCCCGCAATCATTGTCAGTTGGTGTTTGACCAGGGCCGCGGGGGTGTTTGTATATTGCATGCGGTGTGCAATTCAAGCAAACACCATGGTGGCTTCCCCGCCGCGATTGCGCAATGGTTTTCGACAAAAATTGTGGGGTTCGACATGCTTCTCGATGTGTGCCATCACGTACGCGGGCGCACATGGCCCACTCTGCGTGCCCCACACGTGGCGCACCTGGCGCGGCTGGGTCATGCGGCGCACATTGCGCACGTGGAGCAGGCGTGCCTGGCACGCCTGTGCCCCAGGGGTGCCTGGCGCACCAGGAGCGCCTGGCGCGCGATGGAACCTCGCCCTGGCGTCGCGCACATGGGGCCTGCGTTGGCCCCCTCCAGCTGTCCATCCATAAGCGACCGCTGAACATGCTGAGGTTCGGGTGCCGCTTATGTGGCGAGGCCCCCCAGAGGCACCCAGACGCCACAAAAAGGCCCCTGGGATTGCCAAGGGACCACCAAAACACCCCAAGGGTACTCCAAGAAACTCCCGCAAGAAATCCGCAGACACCCCGAGAAGCGTCCGAGAGGTTTCTGGCCTTGGTGCTCGCCGTCCTCCTTCTCCTCATATTCCACCTCCTCTGCCTCATCCGCCTATTCCGCATCCCTTCTCTCTCCTCCCCCCCACTCCCCTTCCCCCTCTCCCTACTCTTCCTGATTTTCCGATTATTCCTCCATCCTCCTTTTTTTGAAGCACGACGCCTAATCCAGCCCTTAATTCCACTGCATGTTCCCCCGCATCCCTGATCAGGGCAACTCGTCTCGGTATCCTTTCTGGTTGGGTTGGTGAGGCCACTTTTTGGTTAGCGGGCGCGCGAAACGGGTCGAACGCCGAGCGTGCTACGGCGGGCCGCGCCGGTAGCGAAGTGAAAAGCCGCGCAAGCGACGGCGCGCGAGGAGCCGCGGTACCGACCAGGCAGGCAGCAGCACAGGCTTTGTTTTTTGGTGTTTTTTTTTTGTGTGTGTGTGTGTGTGTGTGTTTTCTCCGGGGGGGGGGTCGCGGCCGCAAGCGAAGGTGCAGGCGGCGTCAAGGGTCGACCCGGGCTACGGGCGGAACTTAATTATTCAGTAATGGTGGGGTTACTGTTTTGTTTACCGGCCGCTAACGGAGGAAGGCCGCGCGGCGTCAGTAGGTCGGTCGAAAGCCAGGCCTACATGGAACAGGGCAGAGCCTAAACTACGGCTGGCGCACGCGGAAAAGAAGCGACGCGGGGAAGGACGAGGAGCCGACGAGACGAGCGACGAAAGAGGGGAGCAGGAGAAAAAGGCAGAGCCGCTCAGAGGCACGGGATCGAACCCAACACCACCAGGAATACGTCGTACACAAGGTACAAGCCCAGCGCCAGGAACCAGCGTGTGCCGTGCACCCTGCGTACACCAGAAGCACTCGTCGAGCGTACACCAGAAGCACATGTGTGCCGTACGCCCTGGGATTACTTTTTTTGGTCAGCGGCTCCAAGGCAAAGGTCAAGAAGCGAGTCAACAACGAACGGGGCGCGAACGAAGCTAATTGGCCGCAGTGGCAAATGCACGTGCGAGGGTCGAAATAACCCAAATTGACCGCTCAAGCCAGCGTAGACGTCCCGGCGGTGGAACCACCGTGGCGACCAGCGGCGAGTCGGCGCCGAGACCGCCCTTTGGGCAGGCACCAGCAGCTCAACGCGACCAGAGGATCAGCCGAACATCCCGACGGGCGGGGACGAGCGCGGCGACCAGCACAGGGGCGGAACTGGAACGGCAAGGAAGTCGCCATGGCGGCGCCTGTCACCGGCCGCATACCTGATGGAAGCGAGGCAAGAGCGAGAAAAAAGGATGCAAGTGTGCACGCCAGCCGGGGCACGCTTCAGCGCCAAGAAAAGAGGGCAGCGAGCAGAGTAATGGCCTCACTCACCGTGGCTCACTGACGCAGGTGTGGCCGGGGCCTGTCCTTCGCCAAGGATGCGACCCCGGTCTGCGCCCACGAGGTAGAGCCGAGCCTGTAGCCAGTGCATACACAACGTATCCGAATCTTGTGGTTCGGGGGCAAAACGATGCAAGAACTGACGGAGGCTGATGCAGACTGATCTGCTGGGCGTAGGCCACAGACTGCCGAAGGCTGATCCACTCGTGCAGGGCCACGCCCTTGACGAAACCAAACATCGGGTGTCACCGTATGTGTGGCTGGCGGCCGCACCCGATCCACACCTCCAGCCGGTAGCCAGTGCGAGCACATCGTCTCCGACGCACGCAGTTCGGGGGCACAACGATGCAAAGTACTGACGAGGGCAGGTGGCCGGGCTTCTCTGAAGAGGCGACCGCGAACTGCAGAAGGCTGAACCACTCATGCAGGGCCGCACACTTGCAAAGGTGTGGCTGATCCGCCTCAGGGCGCCATCCAGTAGAGGACCACTGGTGTGCGCTCACGAGGCTGAGCCACCTCCAGCCGGTAGCCAGCGCCTGCACATCGTTTCCGAAACACACAGATCGGGGGAAGAACGATGCAAGATACTGGCGAGGGCTGGTAGCCGGGGCAGCTCTATGGCTGCGCCGATCTTCTGCGCCCGGTGCAATCATCCCAGTTGAACGGGGGGGGGGGCGCAGCCGAAAGACGCAGAGACATTGGGAATGAAGGAAGAGGGGGAGGAGGAGGAGGCGGAGGAGGAGGAGGAGGAGGAGACGGAGGAGTCTGCGTCCGATGCAACCTTTACAGTTGATCGGTGGGGGGCGCAGCCGAAAGCCGCAGAGACACTGTGAATGAAGGAAGATAGGGGGCGCAGCCGAAAGCCGCAGTCACCGATCCAGATACCTCGTCCACGGACGCCACAAGGTTCCCTACGGGGGCCCCGTTCTCGGCCTCTGGGGGCTGGGTGGACCTGCAGCTGGAGCTTCGCACTCACGGCCTGACCCCTTCTGCGCCCGATGCAATCTTCACAGTTGATCGGTGGGGGGCGCAGCCGAAAGCCGCAGAGACACTGTGAATGAAGGAAGATGGGGGGCGCAGCCGAAAGCCGCAGTCACCGATCCAGATACCTCGTCCACGGACGCCTCAAGGTTCCCTACGGGAGCCCCGAACTCGGCCTCAGGGGGCTGGGTGGAACCTGCTGCAGGAGCTACGCACACACGGCCTGACCCCTTGCGGGAGGAGGAGGGAGGCGAGAACGGAACAGGGAACAGGGCGGGGATCCCGGCAGTGCGCCGGCACATGTGGACCACGCTGGAGAGGGTGGCGCCACCGCCACCGCGGACCGACGGGAACGGGATGCAAGAGCACCGGAGCCACCGAGGGCGGACCCGGGACCAGCGGCGGCCCCCCAGGGAGCCCGGCGCCAGGATGCAAGCCACAGGAGAGCCCGCGGGACACTCAGTCCGTTCCCACTGCAGCCGCTGAGCCCACACTACCGCACAGCACCTCTTGTCCAACTCCACGGCCTCCAGCGGGGGGGGGCGCAGCCGAAAGCCGCTGAACACAGGTGCACGGCGGGGGGTGGGAGCTGCAGGGACATCCTGGCAGTGCGCTGGCACATGCAACCACGCTGGAGAGGGTGGTGCCACCGCCACCGTAGACCGACAGAAACGAGATGCAAGAGTGCCAGAACCACAGAGGGCGGACCCGGGACCAGCGGCGGCCCCCCTGGGAGCCCGGCGCCAGGGCGCAGGCCACGGAGAGCCCGGGGGACACGCAGTCCGCACACACTGCAGTCCTCTCTCGAGGAGATGCACGACACGTCCGACAACAATTCGTCATAACCAAGAAAGAAAAATAATGAGGCCTCCAATCGCGCTGATGAGTACGGTGTACAACTCGTAGACAACAGAGAAAATTGATCTCAAAGTAGAAAACCATACTGTCCACGGTAAAGCCACTCCCGCAGCGCGCAGACAGAGGAGAAAAATACTGAAGTCGACGGCATAGCCGCGCACGCAGCACGTAAGACAACAGCCAAGATGAAGGAGTAGAAGTTCAGCACGAAACAGGAGACGAGACACGTCGCACACAGACAAGACCCCTTCCGCAGGCCGCGTTTTGCAAGGCAGCGTCGGGCCTGCTGCCAGTGGCCGCACCCCACGCACCTGACCCCCGTGTGAGCGATGCCTCGAGGGGGGCAGCAAGGCTATTGCGGGGAGACGGCCACCACAATTTTTTGCGCTGCTTGGGGGCCTGGTTGTTCGGGTGGCCCTTTGCCGCGCGGTAATCGCTGCTCACCCCGCCGCTCCGACCCAGGTGCAGCTGCCGCGTCCGAGTCCAGTCGGCGTCTAGGCCCAGCGCGTCGCTGACGACCCGTGCCTCGCACTTGTGGCTGCGGAAAGCTTCCAGGGAGAGGTGGCAGGTTTGCGGGTCGTGCCGAAGCGGGTTGAGCGCGCCCTTGCTGCCGGGCACGGACTGCCGCTTGGCGAAAGCGTGCCAGGTGCCAGTGAACATTGGTCCCAGTGTGACTTGGAGTCGTCTTGTCGCGTTGCCGGGTGTCTCCCCAGGGAGGTCCCACTGGATGTTGTTGATCCCTGTTCTGTACAGCTGCTGTCCCGTGCCGGGGCCCTTGGGCTCCGGCCATCGGCGCGGGTCGGGCCTTTGGTGCCGCCGCGTGTTCTGGCCGCAAGTCTCCAACGTACCGGCCTCGTTGTCCCGGCTGGAGGGCTCGCGATCTGCTCGCGACAGTTCCAGCTGCACGCCTGGCGGGGTTTTGCGGGGAAATGCAGGCCGCATGGTTGGCCGCCAGGCCGGGGTCGGATCGCGCCCGGCGGCCAGGGCAGACGCAGCCTTGTGGCACTTTGGGAAGGGCCCCTTTCGCTGGCGTTCGCCTTCAAGCCTGTGCCCGCCGTCGCTCCCAGGTGCGTCCTCTTTGGACAGCGCGGGACTCTCTGCGGTCTCGGGGGCGCCGCTGGTTGCGCCAGGCGCGTGCACGCTCGGCGGCGCAGCTTCCATAGCCGGGGCGCGAGCTGTTTTTCCAGTGGCGCCCTGGGCGCCAGGAGAGGGCGCCTGGGGTTCGCCGCCCATGAGAAGCTCACTGTCAGGGGAAGGGGGGCGGATAGGCGCGAAGAGGTTTCTCCCGACGAGCCAGCGAATGGCTTCGCTGTCCAGCGTCTGGATGGTTGCTCCGTGGTCTCCCTGCTGGGTGCGTGGTGCTCCCAGAGGACTGCTGACGGGCTGATTGTTCTGAAGGGGGATATTCCGCTGCTTCCGCAGCCTCCGCCGTCTCCGCCGTGACTTCCCACTCCTTTCCTTTGCCCTGCTGGTACTGCTGAAAAGGGGGGGTGTTAGAGTGAGCTGTACACTGGCCACTGCATGCTACCGCCTCTGGATTCCCCACTGGGACGTCATCGTCTGACAAATCAACCGCCTCTCGATTCCCCTCTGGGACGTCATCATCTGTCAATGGAGCGGGGGGGGGTGGCCTGTTGCTGCTACTGCTGCTGCTGCTATGCTCCGAGATGTCGTTGTGAGTATCGAGATCTCTCGGGTCAGCGCCAGGCGCCGCGATCTGTGCCCAGGCAGCGGCAGGAACCTTCGGGAGCGCAACGAGCCCGCGCGGGATGCCCGCGAACTCCGGGCCAGCCGAAGTCTTCAGCTCTGCCTGCCAGCGGTGAGCGAGATTCTCCGAGCAGCCATCCGCTGTGACGCTAGCAGGGCCCCAAAAGGCCCGAGGGGCCCTCAACGCCCAGCTCGCTCTCGACCTTGCAGGCGCGCAGCGGGGATCCAGCGTGCAGCGCCCCATCGCCCTGGGCAGAGCCAATAGCGAACACCTGCTCTTCTCGCGCGCGCTGGTCAGGGTGCCCTGAGAGATGATGTTGGGCTTCAGCTTCGCTGCTGCCATCTCGCTCAGCAGCGCCATTGCCTGCTGCCACTGCCAGCGCCTGCTCTTCTCGTACTCCTCTTCTCGTACTCGCTGATCAGGGCGCTGCAGGGGATGATGCTGGGCTCCGGCTGCGCGACCGCCATCTCGTTCAGCAGCGCCTTTGTTCGCCGTCGCTGCCAGCGTCTGCTCTTCTCGCACGCGCTGTTCAGGGCGCTGTAGGTGATGATGTTGGGCTCCAGCTGCACGACCACCATCTCGCTCAGCAGCGCCATTGCCTGCTGCCACTGCCCGCGCCCGCCCTGCTTGCACCAGCTGTTCTGGCCGCAGTAGGTGAGGATGTTGGGTACCAGTTGCACGACCGCCATCTCGCTCAGCAGCGCCACGGTCTGCAACCACTGCCAACGACTGCTCCTCTCGCACGCGCTGTTCACAGTGACGTACGCGATGATGTTGGGCTCCAGCTTCACGGCCACAATCTCGTCCAGCAGCGCCACAACCTGCTGCCACTGCTGACGCCTGTTCTTCTCGCACGCGCTCTTCACAGTGCCGAAGGTGATGATGTTGGGCTCCAGCTTCGCGGTCCAAATCTCGCCCAGCAGCGCCACAACCTGTTGCCACTGCTGCCGCCTGCTCTTCTCGCACGCGCTCTTCACAGCGCCGTTGGCGACGATGGTGGGCTCCAGCTTCGCGGCCAAAATCTCGCCCAGCAGCGGCGCTGACTGCTGCCATTGCCGAAGCCTGCTCTTCTCGCATGCGCTGTTCACCGTGCCATGGTTGATGAACGTGGGCTTCAGCTTCACGACCAGGGCCTCGATTAGCAGCGCCACAACCTGTCGCCGCTGCCAACGCCTGCTCATCTCGCACGCGCTCTTCACAGTGCCGTAGGTGATGATGTTGGGCTCCAGCTTCGCGACCCAAATCTCGCCCAGCAGCGCCGCAACGAGCTGCCACAGCTGCCGCTTGCTCTTCTTGCAAGCGCTCTTCGCAGTGCCGCTGGTGAAGATGGTGGGCTCCAGCTTCGCGGCCACCAGCTCGCCCAGCAGCGGCACTGCCTGCTGCCACTGCCGCCGCCTGCTCTTCTCGCACGCGCTGTTCATCGTGCCAGAGTTGATGAAAATGGGCTTCAGCTTCACGACCGGGGTCTCGATTAGCACCGCCACAACCTGTTGCCGCTGCCAACGCCTGCTCCTCTCGCACACGCTGTTCACCGTGCCGTACGTGATGATGTTGGGCTCCAGCTTCACGACCAGGATCTCGCCCACCAGCGCCACGGCCAGCTGTCACTGCCCAGGCCTGCCCTTCTCGCACCAGCTGTTCAGGATGACGTAGGTAATGTTGAGCGCCAGCTCAGCTCCACGATCAGTGAAGCCGGCGGCGGCGGCCGCCGCCAGCGGCCCTCCAGAGGCGGCCGCGGCGGGCGCCTCGGCGGGCGCGGCGGCACCAGCGGCCGCGGCCGCCACTGCGGCGGCCGCCGCACCCGCGGCGGCCGCGGCCGCCGCGGCAGGCCCCAGCGCCGCAGCGCGCGCCACAGCGCCGACGGCCGCGGCGGCCTCGCTGCGGCCGGCCGCCGCAACGGCCGCGGCGGCCGCGGCGGCGGCGGCGGCCGCGGCGGCGGCGCCGCCGGCCACGCCGAGGCCGGGCCGCCGCGGCAGCAGCCGGCCGGGCCGGCCGCAGCGGCGGCGCAGCAGTCGGCGGCGCGCCGCTGCCGCCGCCGCCGCGCCGAGCGCGATACCATGGCCGAGCGAGCGGGGGCGCGGAGGGGGGCGACCCCCTCGCACGCCCCCGCGGGCGGGGAGGCCGAGGACCGAGGGGCGGAGGCCCGGCCAGCCGCTGAGGCCCGCTTGAGCCCGAGCGGCTTGAGCCAAAGGCTACGGACCCTGGGGTTACGCAAAAAGTCTAGAATAACACCAGGACCTCGACATCTTAATTCCGGTCGAGGTTTTGAGCGGCCCAGGTAGGTCTAGAGGTACGGAGGGCTAGGTTAAAGCACTCTGAAGGTCAGGGGGGGCGTGGCGGAGGGGGGAGGAAAGGGGGGGGGGTGAATGGAGAGCGGGGGAAGCCCGGGCAGGAGGGAGAAGGGGGGTAGGGTGGCGCTGGGGGGTTTGGCGCAGCGCATCTCTATGCAGTGTCTGGGAAACGCAAGCAACACATTGGGAGGGCAGGGAAAAGACGGATGGGAAAAGGCGGCGAGGGGGAGGAGACGGGTGGGGAAGGATTGAGAACGGTGGGGGAGAAAGAGATGGAGGGTACGGCGCACCATCAGCAGCACGTGGGGGCAAAGCGTCCATTTAAGAAACCAGCCCTCGAAGAAACCTCAACTGGCCCCATAAACTGACAAACTGGAATCGACTTAAGATGCGCACGTCCATGCACAATCGCCCCACCGCGCCATGTCTGTTGTTAGCGTGCGCGTCGCGACCACATGCAATATGGATGGCACGGCGAACATGAACCCAGAAGGGCACTGGGGAAACCAAGCCGAGTAGGGGTGATGATTGCGCACGAGGCAGCCCGCGCGTTGTTAGACATTTCCCTAATATTGCGTGGCTGGCAAGTCACGTTCATATTACGACCTGCTAACTGCGATGCCGCATGCCGCCGCCCCTGACACAGGCGCCTGCCAACCGTCACGGCACGCCGGGTCAGCTAGATGGCAGTGGGAAATGTGCGCGGCAGGCAGTGGGAACTGCTACCTAAATCAAAGGCAAGGCTGCTACGACATGAGAAGGACGACAAGGATGAATCTGACTGTGGGCCAGGGTCCCGCTAAGGGGGCGAAGGGGGGTGCCCGAGGGGCATCAAAAGCGGGGGGTCCGAACTCGATCCAATCCAGATGGGGCTCATGCCGCAACCTCGTTAAAGCAACCCCTGCTATATTAGCACAATGCCCAGGCCCTGGACGGACAGTCCGCCACCGTCCCTTCCGCACTTCGCTCAACATCGTTCCCCAAACCCCTCCCAGGGTGCCACCTGGCTGGGTTCTTCCGCTGTGCCTAACCGTGGCGACGATGCCCCCCCCCCCCGAGCCCCCCGAGGGCCAGAAAACCAGTAGGAGAAGGAGGTCTCCATTTCCTATTGCTCCTCCTCGGTGATGCCACGAACCCCCAGCACTGTCCTGGAAGACGCGGCTGAGATCGCGCATGTTGAAGATGTAGTGGAAGCGCAGCGGCGTCGGCAACAAACTTTTCTTGACCTGGGCCAGCGCCAGCATCGCGCGAGATCCGGGGAGGGGCGAGAGCGTCAAAAAGTCTTCCCGTCTTCCTGTGCTTCATCATCCTTCTCAATTCGTCCATCCCTCTCTCCTCATCATTATCAGCATTCCCGTCCTCATCCTCTTCGTTATGATGACGTCTTCTGTGTTCTAAGAAGCATTGGTTGAACACTCATTGTCCAATCTGAGACTCCGTTTGTAAACATGTGGCACGGGCCAGAAGGAAGACCCGCGGTACGGCATTTGAGCGAGGAAAGCGAATCGCATCTAGTATGGCGAAACTAGCTGGCTGCAGCGTAGATAGAAGCCTTTTGTATGCGGTCGGAGTATGTGAGGTCGGAAGATCGCGCCGCATCGCCGATACGTCGGCGATGCACCAGCGATGCACCGTCGACGCCGGCGACGCAAATCGGGTTCCACATCCAGCCGCGTCGTCGATGCATCGGCGATGCGGCGCGATCCCCCGACCCCAACTAGGAGGCCTAGAGCAGGAGGGCCCACGGGGGAAACAAACAGTCAGTGCCGCACTCATCCTCTGCCGTGCACTCAGGGGGCGCCATGGATCGGCAGTAGCTGTGCCAGGCATTCCACGTGGACCCCTCTCGACACCCGACCACATCGGTTCGGTAACCACCCCATGGAGTTCCTCCTGCCCTCCCCAGTCCTCATGAGGAGATAGAGAAAGGGACAGACAAAGAGAGAGAAAGAGAGAGAGACGGAGTGATACAGAGAGAGAGAGAGAGAAACAAAACAAGAGAGAGAGAGAAAGAGAAACAACAAACAAACTAGTGACGGAACACCGGAAACAGGACGAGGAGGAGGAGGGGGAGGACCAGACTTGACCCAAGATGCAGCAACAGTGCTGCAATACACCCACCCGCCCCACGCCCCCCCCCCATTCACAATTCCCGACGTGTGCCCGTCGGACGGAAAATGTACGTGCGCCCCCTCAGGAGGACGGCCAAGTTGAAGCCACTCGATCAGCGGAGGAGGAGGGCGCTGATCAAGCATATTGGAACCTGGGAGTCCGAGAGTGCCTACCTTCAGCGGCCGACGGGCACGCCCTCCCGCACCGCGCCCCCCCCCCCCCCCCCCGCAAGTCCTTGCGTGCAGCCCTGCCTGTTCCAAGACGCGATCCCCCCCCCCACGCCCCGCCCCGCTTGGCCGACGAGCGCCCCGCGGGCCCGCCACTCAGGCGAGACCACATGCTGCGCGGGCCCCCCCCCCAGGAAGAGGGAGAGAGGAGGGGGGGGGGACAAGCGGGGGGGGGAAGGCACGGAGGGGGGGGGGGGAGGGAGGGAGGGAGGGGGGAGGAGGGACGGGAAGGAAAAGGAGGAGGAAGCGGAGGAGGAGGAGGAAGAGGAGGAGGAGGAGGAGGGGGAGGAGGAGGGCACAGGTACCTGCCCCCGCCCCTCGGAGAAGCGGCCTGCCTGCGCAGGCTCCCCTGGGGAAACAATCCAACAACGCTGGGTCGCCCCTCTCCTCCAAAACCCGAGCGAACTCCAAAACGGAAGAGGGGGAAACGAAACCGTGCGGCTGGGCGACCAGCCGATCGTCGAGGATCGGCGCATTGGTGCCGTACGTGGCTACACTGGTCGCATAAGCACTTGACTGAAACTCACCACCCCCTGCTTTCAGCCGCCCCGCGCCTCCAGCGAGGGAGGGGAAGCAGCCCGCCAAGGCCTCGACGCCGCCGCCTGGCGGGCCGCGGACGTCCACGATCCCCGCCTTCAGGCGACCCGGCATTATACATCGACAGAGGAGCGAGCGCTGAGTCCTCAGGCCAGGCGCGCCCCTCCCACGGCGCACCCCGCCCAGCCCATCACCCGACCGAACTAACCTGTGCACCGAGGACCTGCGGACCTCGCAAAACGAAGTCGAGCTATGGGGCCGCTCCTGAATCTAAGGGCACCACCGAGGCAAAGACAACATAATGTGAGTTGAGCGCCCAGGGCAGCCCTACACAGCCCCGGAATTGGCCGCCCACAGAAAAATCGAGCGCCCTTCCAAGGTCTCCAGAAGAGCTCCACGCCCAGCTGGCTGAACCTCAAGGGTGCGCCACGGCCCGCCCGGATATTCGAGCCTCCCGACCCCCCCCCCCGTGGGCGCGGCGCGGGGTTGAGGGGCTGTCTGCAAGTCTGCCGTGGCCGTAAGGCGGGGGCCGTGCCCCCTCCCGACACGAGGAACACCGCGAGGAACGAGCCATCCGTGATCACCATCAAAGCAGCTTGGGACGCTTGGCAGCGTTGCCCAGGGCTTCGAAGAACCGCTTGACACCGACCGTGTCAGTGACGCTGACAGTGACATTCTCGAGGAGGTCATGAACTTCAGGGTTCTCAGCACCAAGCTAGAGTTTGGAATCGACGTCCATGCCTCCTGAGAGCACTCCTTCCCCGTCGCCAGAAACAGCATCGCCATCGCCAGCAGTGCCAGCGGGGCCAGGCACAGGGGCCCGAGCGTCAGCTGCAGCCTTGTCCGTCTGCTCCGAGAGCTTGGCTGCAATGGCGTGGGAGACCCACGACATGTCCACGCTGACGTGCGAGCCCCACTGCCTCCGGCACCTCGCCGAAGTTCTCCAGCGGCGAAATTCCGCTGGCGACGTCTTGGCCGATGGAGTCCTGACTGGGGATGACCGCCTTCGCCTGCTTGGCGACGATGGCGGACTTGATATCGTGGAGGTTGTCTTCATGCACGGCGAGCTGGGAGCGAAGGTCCTCGGCTGACTTCTTGGCTGCCTCGAAGGCAGCCTCTGCCTCCTTGAACCTGGCCATGCATGAATCGATCTGCTTCCGCTCGCGTGTCCCTCGGCCGAAGAGGTCCTGGAGGGACTTCGAGCCGAGATCAACTGGTTGATCATCATCCCTGGGGGGCTTCTCAGCGAACGCCACCACCTCATCCATGGATTTCCCCGAGCGTTCCTCACAGGTGATAACGATCCGGACGACGAGCGTATTGTCTAGGGCCTGCTCTTTGTCCTTCCCTCCTGCACCCCCCCCGAGACGGCCCGCGTTCCCAAGCTTGACACCATCTCGTCCTGCACCGCGTGGCTGCCCCTTGGCCCAATCTCCCTGGAGGACCCCCAGCGCACGTTCGCCTGGGCGCCGATGGGTGTTCTGGGCACGGGGCGCGCCGATTTCCCCGCACTTTCGACAGTGGGTGCGCCACAGGAGCTTGCCATACCGACAGCGGGAATCATTGCAGACCCAGGTTTGGGACTGCTTTCCTCCCACACCATCGCGGGCACCTCCTGACATAAGCGAGTTCGTCTGGAAGTGGCTCGGACCAGGTGCGCCACTTCCAAGTGCGCTGGTCCAAAGGTTGCAAAAATCTCGAAACCTGGAAATGCCTAGGAGGAGGAGGAGGAGGAGGAGGAGGAGGAGGAGGAGGAGGAGGAGGAGGAGGAGGGGGAGGGGGAGGGGGGAGGGGGAGGAGGAGGAGGAGGAGGAGCCCCCCCCCCTTTTTAAAAACTCGACGAGTGGGGCTATGTGCCGACTGATGGGAGTACATGTGAGGCTTGTGGAGCCCGTCGCTGGACCGCACTCTCGCGGATCCCGTCCTGGTCAGCTATGCAGGCTGGTGCGCACGCTCGATCGATGCTGCAACTCGGGCGCGGCGGAGGCAGGCTGCAAACGAGGGGAGAGGCACGCACGCCTCTGGCAGCGGACACCGCGTCTCGATAGGAACTGGGCCCCCGCCTCTGGGACAGAGCTATCTGCACATAATCACGGCACTAGAGAGGCTGGGAAAGGGGACAGGAATGCATTCAGCTGGCCAGGCAGCCAATGCTGTCAGCCACGCCTCAATCGAACTCGAATGGGCAATACTCATCTTCGGAGCCGATCGGGTCAATGGCGGGGGGAGGCAGGGGCGTGGGAGGGGTAGGTGCCGTGCCCCCGATAGTCTCTCCCTGTACAAAAACTACTTTGTTAGCACCTCTAGCCACGACGCCATCTCGTCTTCCAGCCATCCAGGCGGGGCCACACCAGTGTGGCGCTGGGCCACTCCCTCCGAGATGACGGCGTTCGTGACCGTGCCCCGAATGGGCCACACTGGCGCTGCCACCTGGAGCTTCACTTTCTCCTCGTCGAAGCATCTCTCGATGCGGATGGCCGCCACGTCCAGCTCCAGGTGGGTTCTCGTGGTCGGCGGCTCCTCTCCATTGACTGGTATGATTTGTTCCACGTGCTTGCAGAGGTCGGCCTTCGCTTTTCCACCTATGTCCACTCCATCAGACTCTCTAGAAGGCCGACCACGAGGCTCGCCACTGGCGAGCCCACCTCTCGCAGCGCCTCGGCGCCGCTCGGGCGGGCTGCCCCCACCTTATTGCGGTACTCGATCATCGCCGCCTCGAGCCTCTGGACCACGCGGTGCGTCTTGGGGATCGTGAGCGTGTCGATCGCCTTCGCCGATGTCAGTCGTTGCTTGAGCGCCGTTTGAAGCGTGAGCTTCGTCAGCGTCGCCAGGCACTGCATCGAGTTCTGGTCTTTCGATGCCCATTTCTTCTCGCTGTGGTTGCCGCGTCTGCGCCTCCTGCCGCGTCGGTGTCCATGACCGCTCTTGCCGCCCTTGCCGCCGCTCTTGCCGCCCTTCTCCTTCAGCGGGTCCACCTCCCCCATGACGTGGTCGCCGTCCTTGTCGCCCTTGCGCGGGTTCTTGGCGGGCGGCGGAGCCAAACCGTCGCTCCCAGAAGTGCTGGAGGCAGGGCAGGAGCCCTTCAGGAGCCATGCGGGCGGCCGAGCCGCCGCCGACGCCGCCGCCGCCGAGCTCGCCATCTTCAGCAGCTGCCGCAACTGGGGGCCGTCGAAGGAGAAGGGGTGTGCTCGCGGCTGTCACCCGCGATGTGGTGCTCTCAAGCACGCGTTCTGCCCTCGAGGGGGCTGGGGCTGGATCCACTCGTGGTAGCCGATGTCCCTGTGCTGCCGTCGTAGTCGTTCAGCACGTTGTTCTCGAAGCTCTGCCAGCCGTTGATAGCCCGCTCGGAGCCGTTCTCGTTCCTCGGGGGTGCCCTCTGGTCGCCAAGCCGGTGGCGGCAGCATCTCGCGCCCGAGTTGGCCTCGAGCGCTGTGGGCGGGTCGTGGCTGAGATGTTTTGAGCCAAGATCCTGACGGACATGGGGGAATGTGCGTGCGAATGTGTCTTCGCAGCTCCAGCGCCTCAGAGTAATGTGGCATTCAGGCGGGTCGCTGTATTCTCCCAATGGGCACTCGGTTACCTCGGAAAGGGGGTCCAGGTGTGTGTGTGTGTGTGTGTGTCTCGTCAGCTCCGCGATGCATCTGCCCGACATCCATTTTTTTTCCATGCTCGGGCCATGCGCACGCGGCTCTGGCCAGTCACCCTCCAGGCGGGGTGGCCCGACGGTGCCTGGGCGTGCCGAATGGCGGGGACCCAGGACAGAGACCGTCTGGCGGGTTGCCCCTCGCAAGCACGCAGCACTGCCGAGGTGGCGGTGGGGCTAGGACGGGGGCCTAGTCCGACTCGTCCTCGCCGAAACCCACAGGAGGGATGAGCGGTTCCCCATCCTCCTCTAGGGCCGAAAGAGCGCCGAGGGGCGCTGGAGGGCGAATCAGGTGTCGAGGAGGCGGGAGCCCTTGCCCTTCGCCTTGCCCCCGAACGGGATCCCCTTGTCCTTGCCGATGCCCATGGACGGCTTACCGTTGGTGGCGTCCTTGGCCGTGGCAATGTGCGCGGCGGTCCAGCCGTACTCCGAGGTCGTGAGCACGTAATGGGAGCCAGCCATGCGCGAGGACGAGTTGGCGTCACACTCCGAAAGGATCTTCGCCGTGTGGGTGTCCGCCTTCATGATGTTGATGGCTCCGTTGTGGATGGAGTCCGAGTTGAGGCCGCACTCCGAAAGGTTCTGCGCCTTGTGAATGTCTGCCTTCACGATGCCGCTCTTGCACAGGATGTGGCACGCGTCCTCCTGCAGGAAGACGTGCCTGGAGGTCGCACGGACGACGTTGTCGTCGTCGCCGTACTTGTTCTTGAGCTTCTCCTCGTGCAGGGTGCCACGCAAGGTGTAGCTCTCCTCCTCACTCGAAGCCACGTCGTCCGCAGCCTCTGAGGTCGAGTCCGAGTTGGCGCCACTCTCCGAACGGTTCTTCGCCGTGTGGACGTCCGCCTTAATGATGTCGTTCTTGTTGCACATGATGTGGCACGCGTCCTCCTGCTGGAAGGTGTGCCTGGAGGTCGCATCGACGACGTTGTCCTCGTCCACGTACTTGTTCTGGAGCTTCTCCTCGTGCAGGGTGTCGCACATGATGAAGCTCTTCTTGTCGTTGTCCAGCTCGGGCCCCAGGTCGGAGCCAACCGAGCCTTCCGTGGAGACCTCCTCGATGCCGCTCTGCACGCCCAGGGTGGCCTCCGCTGTCGCCAGCCAGGCCTTGAGGCGGCAAAGAACATCGTGCGCGGCTCCAGGATGGCGAATGAGCGCCGACGCCCCGTCGAGGATCCGGCACTCCCGCTCGAGGTCCGACGGCGGCCGCACACCAGCGTCCCGGCGCTGCTGCCAGCCTTTGGCCAGCGTGCTGCCGCCCACCACGGCGACGAGCTCGGCGGCGGCACCAAGCACGTCGCGGGCGGCACCACCAAGCACCGGTAGTGGAACTTCGCCAGGAGCGGCTGGAAGATGGGCGACGGGAGCCGCCGCCCGCTTCGTGACCACGGCCATCAAGTCCGCCGCTTCGCCGACAGACCGGGCCCACGCAACCGCTGCGCCATGCCGGACAGGGATTCCGCCTTGCTGCCGAGGCATGGGGAAGAAGGGCGCGTCGGGAGCCCAGCGCGCCGTGTGCCGCTTGAGCCAAAATGGCTACGGAGCCCGACATCCATGCTCGAAACAAGTGCCGTCGTGTATGATCAATACTAGCAAAGACAATGTCGCAGTTGATGCACTTATTGTCTGTACATACCGGCGAGAGGACGGGAGGAGTGCCGTGGCCCTCGAGCGTTGTCGCGTTGATCTGGTGCTTGACCAGCTCGCGGTTCGTCGAAAATCTGGCACGGCATCCCTTGATCCCGCACAACAGGGGGGCGAGCTCCTCATCTTCCCTATCGGTCTCCCCCAGCACCTCGTCAGTGGGGAGCTGGTTCTCGAAGTGCTCCGGGGGGGCCCACTCGCATCCCTTGAGTGTCATGCGCAGGGCTCTGAAGTCGCACTTGCGGAAAACCTCGGAGGCCTCAGAGTTGATGCTGAAATGCGGATGCCCAAGAATCGTTTGGAGGTCCTCATGAAGCTGGCGGGCCCAGGGGTGAACGTGCGGGGAGGGGTTCAGCTCGCCGGTTCCAAGTATAGTTATATCGGAAAGAGCGTGTTCTACCGCTGCTGGCGGAAAACCAAGGGGGGTCACTACCGGTTCGAACCCCTCCCCCCCCCTCCCTCCGGAAAACCAGGGGGGGGTCACTACCGGTTCGAACCCCTCCCCCCCCCCCCCGAGCTCATCATGAAAAGGGGGGGGGGTGCTCATCATGAAAAGGGGGGGGGTCACTACCGGTTCGAACCCCCCCCCCCCCCTCTCGAAAACCGGGGGGGGTCACTACCGGTTCGAACCCCCCCCCCCCTCGAAAACCGAGTGGGGGTGCGGACAGTGGTGGGGACGGTGTTGGTGGGGACAGTGGTGAGGGGATAGCGGGACAGTGGTGGGGACAGTGGGACAGTGGGACAGTGGTGGGGACGGTAGTGGTGGGGACAGTGGTGGGGACAATGGTGGGAACAGGGGGGGACAGTGGACAGTGGTGGTGACGGTGGTGGTGGGGACAGTGGTGTGGGGACAATGGGAATGAGGTGGAAACAGTGGGACAGTGGAGGGTACAATGGTGGTGGGGACAGTGGTGAAGGCGGTGGCGAGGACGGCGGTGGGACAATGGGACAGAGGTACAGTGGGGACAGTGGTGGGGACAGTGGGGACAGTGGTGGGAACAGTGGGACAGCTCAGTGGGACAGCGGAGGAGTCAGTGGGACAGTGGGGACAGTGGGGATAGTCGGGCAGTGGTTGGGGCCGTGGAGACAGTGGGGAGAGTGGAACCGTGGTGGGAACAGTTCTGGGGACAGCGGGGACAGTGCGACAGTGGTGGGGCCACTGGTGGGGACAGTAGGGGCGGTGGTGGAACCAGTGGGGACAGCGGTGGTGAGGACAGTGGTGCTGGGAACACCAGTGGGGGATGTGATGCGGACGGTGGTGGGGACCGGGAGTCGTTTGCTGGCGGTGAGTAGGGGGGGGGGGGGGGGGGGGGGTTCGAACCGGTAGTGACCCCCCCGGTTTTCCCGATCCGAAGGGGGGTAAGGGGGGGGGGGGGAGGGGTTCGAATCGGTAGTGACCCCCCCCGGTTTTCCGGATCCGAGGGGGGGGGGGGGGGAGGGGTTCGAACCGGTAGTGACCCCCGGGGTTTTCGAGCGGGAGGGGGGGGGGGGGGGGGAGGGGTTAGGGGGGGGGGGTTTTGCCGGGGGAGAGGGGGGGGGGGGGGGAGGAGGGGTTCCCGCATGGGGGGGGGGGGGGGGGATTTTCGGAGGGGGGGGGGGCGACGACCCCCGGGTTCCGGAGGAAAAGGTTGGCAATTTTCCACAGTAAAGCGGCGGTGGATCACGTTCTCTCTTATATCGGCTACAGCTGCACCCACCAAGCGAGCTCTTGACTCGAACTTGCATTCCCCGAAAAAGGCGCTGAGGAAGTGGCGGTGATGTTCGGGGTTTGCCATGATAGACTGCCACCATCCCAACCTCCTTATCATAAGTTCAACCCCTGTGGGTGGGATCTCCCACTCTTCGAACACGGCCCTGGTGGTCAACGACGTGTGTCTGCCATGCGAGAAGACGCGCAACCAGTTAGGATGGTCAGGTCCAAAGAAGTGTCAAGAGACAGCCCCGTTTTGAAACAGGTCTCCCTTTCACCAATGAACGTGCTGCGCTGTTTCAATCAAAGCGCCGCTACTTAGCTCAAGCCTGGAGAGAGAGAGAGAGAGAGAGAGAAAGAGAGAGAGAGAGAGAAAGAAATATAGAGAGATAGAGACAGAAAAATAACAAACGTTTTGAAGACGCTCCGCTCTCCGTCCGTGTAACACTTGAACAAGTAAAGACACTTCAGCCCATAAGCTCGAAGACGTGTCAAGCGAGAACCACGTGTGAGAACGAACCAACCTATGTAATTGTAGTTGTCGGAAGCGTCTAGAACCAACGTGCGCGGCGCTGAGGCGAGAGCGGCATTCTGAAAAAGAGAGGGGAGAAGCAGGAAGCGGGGGATGGAAGAGATGAACAAGGAATGAAGGGGGAAAGGAGGAGGGAGAGGAGAGCAGGAGAAGGGGGAAGAGATGAGGGATGAGGAAGAAAGAGCGGGAGGAAGGACAGAGGTAGAGGAGGAGGGAGGAAGAGGAGGTTCGAGGTGGAAAGGGAGGCGACGTATGAAGAGACGGACGAGGAGTCCGAGCAGAGCGTCGAAAGACGAATGTCAGGAGGGCGAGCAGGAGGAGGACGGAGATTGGAGGACGAAGGAGGCGAGGAAGACGACGCGGATGATGACGAGCCAGACGGAGAGAGACAGAGAGAGAGACAACTAACAACAAAATACATATAGAAGAAGACAAGAAGGGCGAGGAGTAGAGCGATGAGGACGAGGTAGACGTGGACGAGCGACGAGTACGAACATTAAGACTACGAGGAAGATAAGGAGCCAGCCTTCTCCCAGACGTCGACGGTCGCCGCGCAGAGCTGCTTGGTGAGCTCCACAACGGATGGCTTTGCCCCAGCCTTCGCGCTGAACTTCACCTGTTTGGACGGCAGCCGTCGCTGTCGGCACGCTTCCGCTGAACACTCCACGATGCAGGCGATTCCGAGAAGCATGGGGCACCGGTGCCTCGCCGTGGGGTCTTCGACGTGTACTGGTCATCACTTCAACGAGGCATGCTCACATATCAAGGTATCTTCTGTACCAGGGCTCGAGTTAAACAGTGTCTTCCGTTTTCGTTTTGTTTTCGTCATCCCTAGTTCTGTCTTCGTTGGACATTTGCTGCAAAACGAAGTCAAAACGAAAATGGTCCACCAAATTGCCAAAACACCGTTTAGCTCGAGCCCTGGTCTGTACTCGTGTGTGCAAGGCTGTGCTTTGCTTCGTGTCTGCCGATGTTTCGGTGCGGAGAGAAACACACGCAGAGGCAGCGAGGCAAAGGGAGAGAGAGACCGCCCGGACTGGGAGAAGGCCACTGCGCTGCACACCCTCGGCTGATCTGACTCCTTGGCTGGCCCTGCCCAGCCGAGAGGCACGGGCATACGCCATACGTAGAGGCCTCCTAGACGGTGTCGGTGCCGATGTGGTCGAAGATCGCGCCGCATCGCCAAAACATCGGCGATGCATCGGCCATGCACTGGCGACGTCAGCGATGCATCGGCGACGTCGGCGTGGAGAAAACTGGGCCCACATCGAGCCGCATCGCCGATGCATCGCCGATGTATCGCCGATGCATCGGCGATGCGGCGCGACCCTCCGACCCCATCTACTCTGTCCCATCTAGGACGCCTCGAGTACGCCTGCCCGCGGCACGCTGCGGGGGCTCTTCGGAGCCGACGGGCCAACGACACCGTCGGAAGGCGCCAGGCACCCCGAGAGCGGCGGAGCGCAGCTCGGACAGGGCGCGGCGCGGGCCATCTGAGAATGCGCACGGCACAGGGCACCGGGCAGGCAGCAGGCTGCCCTGACATGGGCCCCTCAGGCAGAAGGTACTCAGTGTGGATTTCTGATGCTGGAGAAAGGGGGGAGGGATGAGGGAAGTGGGGGGGAGTCTTTCTGAGGTGGTAGACGAAGGATAAAACAAGCACGCTCGTTCGCTCTCTTTCTCTCTCTCTCTCTCTCTATCTCTCTCCCCTTTTCCCTTCCCCTCCCTCTCTCTCTG